ATGAAATGGGTACATATAAGAAAAATAAAAGAATAAGAGAAACAATAGGACAGGGACGGTAGGCACGTTGGTGCGCTTATGCACGCCCCCTACAGACCTCTTAGGAAAGGGGTGAGGTCAATAGTAGACAGTCTAAGGTTAAAGTTTTTGGGGTTTGGGGAAGAAACTACAGAGTCGGGTAGAGTATTCCAGACATTGACCACTCTATTGCTGAAGTCGTATTTCCTGCAATCAAGTTTGGTGCGGTTAACATTGAGTTTTCAAGTCAGTTCAGACAAGAAATCCAAATACTAACACTACCTTTATTATTGTAAAATTACAGTAACAGAATCTTGCAGCCTCCTCTTATAGAGGCTTAAAAACACCGCAGACTGGCCTTGATTTATGTGCCTTGAGAAGCATCGCAACTTCAAAAAGCAACTTCACTTTGATATGTTAACACGTGTTGTTTACTGGTTTTGAAAGTGTCTCACTATATATTTTGATTTTGAAGCTCTTAAGGGACAAACCCAATTCACTCCGATTGTCCTCCAAAATAAGGCAGGGTTACTAGGGTATATTGACCTTTCTGAGGGAACAACTTGGTTGTGCAAATTCTTCTCCAAAGAAGGTCTCCTGCTCCAACTTTGTGATTTTACAGAAAATTAATCTAGACAATCGTGATACTCAAGGTAAGCTTCACAGTTGTTGTTGCTTTTAAAGAAATCTGAGTTTCTGATGGTTTAAGAACTGAAGAAGCTCCTTGGATGAGAAGTAAGAAGTGAAACATCTTCAAAGAAAAACCAGAAAGTCCAGTTGCCTCTTGAAAAATCACTTTTGTGTTTCAAGAACAGTTGATATTTTACAGTATCAGCTGTTGAGGGATGATGGTGACTTTACTGTTTTCCCTTCCACAGGAAATGGAACGTGAAAACATTCTGATTATCTCTTTCCTCCTCATACAAATAAAAAGAACACTAAGAGGTTTTAATTAAGTTTCTTCCTTCTCTTTGCTTCTTCACCGAAGCTTAAACACTTTACATTCAGACTACCCAGTTTTGGCTCACTCATGCTTTCAGTTTGGTTACCTGTGTCCAGACATGGCCACATTTCATAGTACTCCTCACTTTAGGGAATGAAACAGGTTTTATTTTATTTTTATTTTATTCTATTCTATTAATTAGGACCTACAGTATCAGAGCTTTACGTGGCAAGAAAGAAATTCTCCATCCAAAAACAGGCTAGCTATTTCCCCAGGGAATTCTATTTCTGAACTTCTTCTGTCCAGGATGAGAACGTTTAGACTAAGCAAGCTTCGTCCAGTATGGCCTATCTCTGGCTCATTTTCATTCTGCTCTCCTGATTTCCTATTTTTCTCTATTCTTCTCCTTGCCATCCAAGCTAGAGCAACATACCTCTCTTCATACGGTTGCCAAGTTCATCTTTGGCCTCTAGAATGAAGGTTTCCGTATTACGGCCAGCAACCTGACATCTATCTCTGAAGTTGTCCCAAAGATGCTTTTTTTTTTCAAGAGGCAGCTGGACTTTCTTTGTTGTTCCTTGAAGATGTTTCCCTTCTCATCCAGGAAGCTTCAAGTCTGACTGCAGTCAGAACTGAAGAAGCTTCTTGGATGAGAAGCAAAATGTTTTCAAAGAAAAGCAGAGAAAATCCAGCTGTCCTTCCAAAAAGCACTTCTGGGACAACCATGACCTGGATGACTGAGAATCTCCATAGACATACCTCTCATGTTGATATCTGGCTTAGCTTCTGATAATATGCGCTAATGTCTGCATTTGATTCAGATGGCAAATCCCTCTAAGAATACAGGGTTATGTGAAGCTTTGGAAGCCCAAGGGAAGAGATTTTAAAAATTAGACCAAAGGAATTCCAAGGAACTTACATTTGAGCATTTTCACGGCCACTCTCGTTGTCCCATCAGGTTTGAAGAGACCATAGGCAGTAGCTTCAACGACTTTCCCAAAAGCTCCAGCTCCTAGAATCTTGCCTAAAAGTGTACCAAAACATGTGAAAGATCAGCACAAAACTTCCTCCAAACAGATTGTCTATAATAAAGTTAACCATGTATAAAATTGGGTGATCTGAAAGCAATCAGAGAGCTCTCTGGATTCCAAAGCAAATTGCAAAGACAGAGTCCCACTATATCTGTTCTAGAAAAGAGCCAGAAACCACTAAATAGTAGGAAGAACTGTTGTTGTTGTTTTTTGACAGCTCAGAACCTATCCTATTCCCCTCTCCTCATTTTTTCATTAGCAGGAACATGGGGGCTAGTAGTGGTCTCTGGGGACATCCTCCACCCCAAACTTCTAAGGGTTATTGTTTCTGACTTGCAAGCAGCAATGGAAGAGGAGAAAGCAGGAGGAGTAGCAATGCTTTCCCTTCCGCTACTATTTCTATTAGCGTAAAAGTTTTTTAATATTATTGTTACTGTTATGATCGGGAAACAGCAAGATTCCAAATACAAGATGCAAAAACTCTTCTTTTTGTTCCTATTGAGCGGTAATACTGGTATTCACAACTCGAGATATATACAATCCTACCATGACAGATTAGGCAACTTAAAAACATTACACAAAGAGTAGGCACCCAGAAATCATCCAGGTGTGTGTGCTGCTTTCACTATATTGATCCATTCATGTGCCTTACTTCGATAGTTACTACCTAAAGCAAGGGTTGTCCGACCTTGGCAACTTTAAGACTTGTGGACTTCAACTCCCAGAATTCCCCAGCCAGCCATGGATACATGGACGTGCCCAGAATATTTATAGGGCCATATTTAATGTATTCCATAAAGGGGGGGGGGGAGAAGGATAGCAAATTTAGAGCAATTTTCCTCTGAATCCTTTATTTCTATGAAATGTTTCATATGCTCGAATCTAGGACCTTGCAAGACGTATAAACAAGCTGTCTATGATTCATTAAAAAGCTGTATCTCTTTCCAGGATTGAAGCTACATTGAGAGGACTCCAATAGCTACATGAGTCTGGAAAAGAAATGACCCCTTATTGTAATAGAATTATCTCTTACGAGCAACTGTGATAGGGGCAGGAATACCAGGGCTTCCATCAAAAGGACAGTATCGCTCTAACACCTCTGCTGATTTCATACGTGCATATAACACTCAAGGTAGATTTACAGAAAGACAGGAGCTGGCATTGTGTTGGCCCAATGGTGCCCTTGATCCTAAACCCTCTACAACTGTCTGGTTTCGTTCTGCAACCCAACGACAGACACAAGACTCCAGAGAGTAATTAGGACTGCAGAAAAAACAATGGCTACCAACCTGCCTTCAATCAAGGACCTGTATACTGCATGAGTCAAAGAGGGCTGTGAAAATATTTACAGACCCCCTCACATAAACTGTTTCAACTCCCACCCTCAAAAGGAAGCTACAGAGCACTGCACATCAGAACAACTAGACACAAGGATAGTTTTTCCCCAAATGCCATCACTCTACTAAACAAATAATTCCCTCAACACTGTCAAACTATTTACTAAGTCTGCATTACTATTACTGTTAATCCTCCAATTCTTCCTTTCACACATCTCCTCCCACTTGTGACTGTATGACTGTAACTTTGTTGTTTGTATCCTAATGATTTTATTGACTGTTTTCTAGTATGATTTGATTGCTCATTGTACCCTATGACTATTATTAAGTGTTGTACCTTATGATTCTTGACTCTTGACAAATGTATTTTTTCTTTTATGTACACTGAGAACATTTTCACCAAGACAAATTTCTTGTGTGTCCAATCACACTTGGCCAATAAAGAATTCTATTCTATTCTATTCTACCCCCTTGATCCTGCCTTTGTATATCATGAGATACCATAGTATGGATGCCCTTCTCTGGAATGAACTGGTAAATCAAAACAAGAAAAATTAGGCTAGGAAAAGAAAATATTTTTAAACTACATCATTATTGATACAAGGGTTCTAGAAAGATTATTGGATTGCCAGCAAGATTAAATATCTGCAAACTAACCAAAACTGAGGCAGTTTCTTGGAAATTCCCATTTCTCATCATATGGAAGCTGTGTTGGATCTATGTAGATATAGTTGTTTCCATTTATTTCATCAACCACTTTCCACTGTACCTCATATTTGGGTTTCTGGAACATAAGACATGACTTTTTTTAAAGTACTTAAACCGATAATGCAGTGGCAGGGGAAAAATGGCCTTCTAACAAGACACAATTACACACAATTCTTACCTGGATATATTTATAAACAAGGATTATGACTATAACACACATCAGTCCTGCTGCTACACCAAAGCCGATTAACAATGGAGTGAAAAGGCTGCGGCTATTTTCTTGTTCTAGAGAGACACATGTAAAAATATGAAAACTTATTACCAACTTGGTTTTTTTTACACTTATTTATAAATCGCTTTCATGCAGGCAAGTTTACAGGACAGCTGGCAAAGTTTAAAAAAAAAAAAAGCAGAATATGAACATTAGTCATATTAATTAAAGCCTACACTAAAATTGACATTCAAATACTTTAAAAGGCTAGTGAAAAAGATGGCTCTTTACAGATTTAGAAATGTTGAGGCAGCAGATGTCAAACACATGTACTGAAGGGTTCTGTAGCAGGGATTCTCAATGTGAGCATTTTTAAGATGCATTGACTTCAACTCCCCAGCCAGTATATAAATTCTGGAAACTGAATCCATGCAACTTAACACTGCCCAGGTTGAAAAAACACTATTCTATAGTCTGGAGGTAACCAGAAAAGACCCTCTCCAGTATCCAAAGGAAAAAAAGCCAAGTATTATGGAAAAAGTTGTGACAAAAATATATGCCTTTGGTTATCAGCATTATGAAGGAACTTGGCAATTTACAAGATCAGAGTGCTATTCCTTGTTTTCAAAAGCTTGCAGAATAAATACTGTATTCTGTTTCTGAAATAACTCACAAAATTACCTTTAATGGCAAAGTTAAAGAAAGCTGACCGCCTATCAATGGTATTGGAAGCCTCACAGGTGATTGTGCTATTGCTCTTGAGCATGCTCGTATCAATAGTACTTTCCACAATTATCTTTCCAAAGGAGGAAAATGTTGAATCTTTATATTTGGTTTTTACATTCACTGGAGAAACATTTGGAGAATCTGGACACCTGTTAAAAAAAACAAAAACAAATCATCTGAATAAAAAACAAGAAAAGGAATACTGATGGACAGGTATACCAGGGGTTATAATTTGGCATTTATAACAAGCCTTTTCTCCTAACAAATGTCCAGTTATCCAGTCATTCTGGCTGACAGACAAGAGAATGAAAGTGACATGGTTAGGATACATCAATATTCTTGCTCAGAAATTCTTGGGGATTCTAATTTAATGCTTATCCTAATGCAGCCACTGGAGATTTGGTTGCTTTCATTCAGATTCACTGAAATAGTCTTATGTTAATCATGGCAATCTTAAATCTGATTAATTTCATTGAGTTTGCACTAATTATAATTAGATCTGGATCCAACTTGGTATACCTCAAAAGTCAACAAATCTGCTAGTTTTTTCATTTATTTCTTGTGAACCTAACCTAATTTCTTTTCATTAATTTTCAAAATATAAAGAAAAAGTCCAATGCTCGTCAGAAATTGCTTAAGGCATGTTGGTGAAAGGGAGATTAGAATGCTAGGGTTGATTAATTAGTTGTTCCACTGATTAGAGACCTTCAAAATGTACGTTCGGGTACCTCCAAAGTATACATCAGCAAAATCTATTGTGGGGCCGAAAGGCAGAAGACCCAGGGTTAGGCAACTAGCTGACAAAAGATCACAGTTGTATAACTGGTACAATTATTAAGAACAGAATTGGGATCTTCTTAAATAAAACTGTTGCTTCTGGTATAAACATAATTTTGGTCAACATATGTAGGAAAATTAGAACAACAGAGCTGGACAGGCATGGGAGGTATTCTAATCTAGTCCAACCCCTGCCTAAGCAGGAAACCCTACACCACTTCAGACAAATGGTTATACAATCTCTTCTTTAAAACTTCCAGTTTTGGAGCATTTACCACTTCTGGAGGCAAGTTGTTCTGTGGATTAATTGTTATGTCAGGAAATTTCTGCTTAGTTCTAGGTTGCTTCTCTCCTTCATTAGTTTCCACTCATTGCTTCTTGTCCTGCTTTCAGGTGCTTTGGAGAATAGCTTGACTCCCTCTTCTTTGGGGCAGCCCTGAGATATTGGAAGACTGCTATCATGTCTCCCCTAGTCCTTCTTTTCATCAAAGTAGACATACCCAGTTCCTGCAACCGTTCTTTATATGTTTTAGTCTGCAGTCCCCTAATCATCTTTGTTGCTCTTCTCTGCACTCTTTCTAGACTCTCAACATCTTGTTTACATCATGGTGACCAAAACTGGTTGTGGCCTGACAAAGGCCTTATAAGGTGGTATTAACACTTCACATGATCTTGATTCTATTCCCTCTATTTTTTGCAGCCTAGAACTGTGTTGTCTTTTTTGGAAGCTGCGGTACACTGCTGGCTCATATTTAAGTGATTGTCCACTAGGACTCCAAGATCCCTCTCACAGTTACTACTATTGAGCGAGATACCACATATACTGTACCTGTGAATTTTATTTTTCTTGCCTAAATGGAGAACCTTACTTTTTTTCACCATTGAATTTCATTTTATTAGATAGCACCCAACGTTCAAGTCTGTCAACATCCTCTGATATCTGTCAAGATATCACAACCAGAGATATTTTACGACTAATCTAAGATATCATGATTGCTGCTCTTAATTAGGGGGGGGAGAGAGAATACTTCATTAAAATAACTTCTGAAAAATGTTTTGGATAGGAAAAACATTATAAATTAGCAATAACGTTCAAAACATCCTCAAAATAGCAAGTATTTGTATTCCCACTTGCAAATGAATTACCTGGAATGAAAATACAGGCAATCTTGTTAGAAACATGGATAATTACTCTCGTTAACTCTTTTTCTTTCTTCCAATCTTACAAGTCACATTTGCTATATAATCTACTACGTGCAGATGGAAACCTAATTGCCCTGTGTTGTCTAAAATTGTGTTACGTTAGATAGATTATTACAGTTTGATCTAGTGGTTTAAGACACCAGCTTAGAAACCAGGAGACGGTGAGTTCTAGTTCCACTTTAGGCAGAAAAGCCGGCTGGGGAATTTGGGCCGCTCTCTCTCAGCCGAGCCCACCTCAACTTACAACAGTTCATTTAGTGACCATTCAAAGTTAGAACGGCACTGAAAAAAAGTGACGATTTTTCACACTTATGACCATTTCAGCACCCCCATGGTCACGTGATTTATATTCAGATGCTTGACAGCTGACTCATATTTATGATGGTTGATTCCCTTTTGTGACCTGCTCTGACCCAAACCCTTGTCCAATAAAACAAACATGAACCAAAGGGAACAGAAACCTTTTAATGATTCTTACGAATCCCCGGTTAAAAGGCTGCTGCAAACTAATTAACTTTGATAAGCACGAGCCTCGCCTAAACTGTGCGAGGCTGCCAAGAATAACCAACAAGGTTACTTAGAAATATTTTACAACACAAGAGTCTTCCAATACCAACTAAGATACTGTAATGTCCACGAGGCTGAGTTTCAAAACATCTTTGCTTCCTGCAAAGAACGTCCCATTCACAGCTGGCTTTTATCTTCTTGAAGGAGGGGCCATTACCATGCAGCCTTACTCCCGAGTTGCCCATGCTGCTGCAGCTGCTCTTTCCTGCGAACAATCCTGCGTGTACGCGCACTGGGCACAGGCTCTTCGGGAACCTCCTCATTGCTGCTGCCAGCCCCCACAATCTCTGAAGGCAGCAGTCCACTCCCTAATGGTCCTGGCCCCTCATCTGAGTCCTCGCTCTCCTCAGCCGTCAGCACCTGCTGCCGGCTAACCACAACACTTTCTGACAAGCCAAGTCAATGGAGGAAACCATATTCACTTAACAAGTGTGTGACTAATTTAACAACTGCAGTGATTCTATAAACAAATGCGACAAGAAAAATCGTAAAACGGGACAAAACTCACTTTAACAAATTTCTCACTTAACAACATAGGTCTTGGGCTCAGAGGACTTGGACAAGGTTCCTGCATCCAATGCAGAGATGGAACCAGGACCATCTGGGAGTTGGGTGCTGACTCCGTAGCCCCCAGAATCTGACAGCAGCGAGGCAGAGGAACAAGGGGAGCCTGTTCCCAGTGCGTGTGTGCGCAGAGCTGCTAGAAGGCAAGAACCGCTGAGACAAAAGGGGTGACTTGGGAGTAAGGCTTGGAGGTGATTGTCCCTCCCCTAAGGTATAAAGGAAGTGCAAAGGTAGGAAAACCTTTGCAGGAAGCAACATTGCTTGCTCTGATTGATTTGGAATCTGAAAGTTCCGTGGTGAATTTGTTCTCTGGTTTTGGAAAGACTAATTGGGACTTTAGTTGTTGGCAGCACTGCTCTCCTCCTATTTGTCAAATCTGTTTCTTTCATCCCATAGAGGGCAAATTATTTCTATGAGGACAGAATTTGCCAACTGTGTGGTATAGGGTGGATTAAGACTCTTCCTTCTTATCTCACTTCCAATGGAAACCCAAGAAATTTACTTTCTCATGAGGTTTCAAGCCATGGAAAGAGCACACATTGGAACACATTAGAGTTGATTCTATTCACTTCTCCTCCTTTACATTTAATCCAAAATCCAAATAAATGTTTAAAATATCTCACCTTTGCTCAGTGGCTGGGCAAACATACCAGCTAATAGTAGGAGCTGGATATCCAGTTGCCACACAGAGTAGCATTCCATTGCTCAGTCTTTCCGAAGTGACAATCTCTGGTTTGGCTAAAGAATGAATAAAAAGAAAGAAAGGAAATAAATAAAGGGGACAGTTTATGGGAGGTCATTTCTATTTTGTTCAACTATGCCTGCAAAAGCTCCCCATTTATAAATCTGTTTTTAAATCTTTACTTCCCCAATCCTTTCATCCCATTTTATGTCTCTATCCAGTGTTTCAAGAAGCAAAATAATCAGGAGAGGGGCAGCCTTTTCTCGTCCTTTTTTATTTTTCACATGATTCTGTTAGTTCTCCACTAACAATTATTTATGCTTTCTGTGAAGTATAAGTCAATTTTACGCATTTTAAAATTCTCTCCAAAATCCCTATCTTCCAAAACTGTAAATAGGAAAGTCCAGTTCAAATTGTCAAAAACCTTCTATGCATCTAAAAAAAAAATCAATGCAGCTTGTTCTTCGTTACATTGTTCCAAATATTCCAAAATATCAACACAGTTCTAACAATATTCTTTAACTATCTTTTAAGTAAAAAGGCACATTGATCCTCATGAATAACTTATTTGCAAAATTCCTGGAAAGATGTGTTCCTACTGGATTTTGGAGTTAAAAATAACTCATGAGATCTTGGCTTTTGATCTGTCTTTGAATCAGCAGAAAGATCAAATAATATGATTCTATAAAGATTATATGCAAATTGTTTAAACACAGAATTGTCATTTGTCTAAATATATTTTTATATTGATATGGTAGAAAACAATGAAATTATTTTTCAAATACGGCATATATTCAATCATATTGCAATTATAAGTTTACTATAAGGTGGTTTTTTTCTTGCATTCCCATTTATTTTCTATTTGTATGATTTAGCTAAAGATATAGCTTTCTTGTAAAATTTAAATCTATAAACTTTGTTCTTAATTGTTATTACATGTACTTTAAAAAAAATTATAATTAAAGAATTAAGGAGCTGATGTTAGCCTAAGCATGCAAGCTGAGACTTAATCTTTTGCTTATCATATTCACATTTTTCCCAGGGACTCAATGTGTTTGATACCCTTTCCCCTCAAAAGCCTTCTTAATAGTACTTGAGAGACATGGCAACTTAATTCTGTGCAAAGTCACCTTGTGGCATTGAAATCTTGCACGCTGCTCTCTATTGTGTGGCAGGGAACAGAAATAGCAGTCTTCCATAGAACTACTGAATCTCTTTTCCCTGCTCAGCATCTGAAGTTCTCACCACAGCTGGGGACCAGATACACAAGTTTTCAGGGCGCTTAGCACCCCGACTAAGGGAAATGTGGTTTGCAAAAGGGAATTTGCAGGATGGACAGACGAATGAAGTGCTCCCTTATTGCCTTTTTCTTGCAAAAAAACCCATCCCTTCTTGATACTACTTTCCAACACAGAAGATGCTGGGCATCGTGAACACAAGGTGTTTATGAAACATATAGTCCAACTCTAAAACAGGCTGATTTTATTTCCCCCATTTTAGAGTGGCCGAAAGACAACCATCTTTCTAAGTTAGAATAGCAACATTCTCACGGCCCCTTCCCCAAATCCAACTTCTTGGATGTTTACTCAACTCAATGGCTGCAGTACACCTTGCACGAAAATATTAAAATTTTCAAGGCTCCCAAAAACTTAAAACAGACTTGGCGATTTTAAAATTTTTGAGACCTTACAATAATAGTAAGTTAACTTTCCATGTCTGAACTTAATGTAATGCAGTTGCAGCTGGCAAATACTCGGGCAACCTCAGCTACCAACCTGTTGATTTCTGTGCAGATCAAAGTTCAGGTGAGCTTTGGGGCCCCCCAAAGCTCCCCAAATAGCCACTGTGCTGGCTATTTGTTCTCCCACGAAAGGGATCTGGGATCACGTTGATATCTAAGCCTGCTAGCTCTGCTTACACTTTAGTGTAAGGTTACTTAAAAGATTCCAGGACCATCATTCATCGTGCTGTTTTATTTAAAAGATGTTTCCCTTTAAATGATAGGAAGACTGATGACTTATTATGCCGTTACATAGCTAAAACATATAACCGGATTTATTAATGTTTGCAATATATTTTATTTCTGCCCCAAGACATGACACTTTCCTGTATTATGGTTTAAGAAATCCCAACACTGTTGCATTTAAAAGATTATTATCTAAGCCTCTGGGAAGACAGAGGCAATAAATAGAATTTGCCGACATTTACATCACCTGTCTTGAAACAGTGTTCAAAAGAAACAGGTATGGCAAGAAAGGCTTTTGACACACTTTTCCATAACATCCTGTGAGGATTTATTTCATGGAGCAGTTGGACAGCTGTAACAGGGAGCAGGGCCAATATAATTTATAAGGATCTAAGGCTATGCCTTGATATTCTCTGCCAAATCTCCTCAGGTACAGAAAAACAAGCTTTTAACTGTAATTCCTGCACAGAAGTTCAGATGAATGTTCTGCTATTTGCCTGAAAAATAGGCTTCAACTTCTTGCGGCTGTCCCAGGGCAATAAGCCAAGAATGCTGGCCTTGTCAGGAACCTAAGACATAATATGGCCACAGTCTCTAGTGAAAGGTTTCTCAAACTGTGAGGGGTAACTGCCTTGAGGAGGTATAGAGTGTGTGTCCAGGGGAGTTTCAAATAACCTTTTACAACAGTTCATGTCATGCCCTTGTTAGAGTCGGACTTTGAGGAAGACGAGGAACAGCCGACAGGGAGTAGAGGTGTGGCTCTGGAGGTTGTGGAGGAGGCTGGGGAAGGGCAGAGGCCGGCTGGGCAGTCAGAGTTAAGAACCAGGTCCATGCCCTCTGCATCCTAGGACACGCAGGGAGGAACGGAGAAGGAAACAACTTGGCTTACGAGAGAGGAAGCGGCCATGATCCCCCTCATTGGTTGCAGCTGGGGAGAATAGCATATAAGAGAGATGATTACAACACAGCATTGCCAGAAGCAAAATGTGTGTTATTTTGGGCTGAAGTTATCTTGGTTGGCGTCCTTCCAACAGACTGTGCCTTGTTATCGTCTTGAAGTTGGCAATTACTTACCCTGGTCCATTGTGGAAATTCCTTCATTGTAGTTTGTTTTAGTTTTTTATTTCACCTCTATCTGCTCATTAACTTCGGAGTGTATTGCTTTCTTTTGAAGACTATTTTTGAATACGTTTTATCTCCAACTGAGAATTATTGAACAGTGGGGCCAAGTTGGAGGCATTAAAGAACATTTATTTATGTTTTGGATTTTGTTATGTTTGTGTTACACTCCGGGTCATCACAAGTTTATTCAAAGTTACAATGGCATTGAAAAAGTGACTTATGACCATTTTTCACACTTATGAAGTTGCAGCATCCCTGTGGTCAAGTGATTTACATTGTATACTTGACAACTGACTCACATTTATGACAGTTGCATGATCCCATGTGCCAGGGTCATGGGATCCCATTTTGCAACCTTCTGACAAGCAAACTCAATGGGGAAACCAGATTCACTTAACCATGTTATTAACTTCACAACCGCAGTGATAATGTGGCAAGAAAGGTCTTAAAATGGGGCGAAACACACTTAACAAATTTCTCACTTAGCAACCCAAATGTTGGGCTCAGTTGTGGTTGTAAGTGGAGAACCACTGGAAGTTGTACATATCTTTATTTAAAAAAATAAAGTTGTATTGATTTGTTTACATTGTTCATTTGTGTTCATTTTGGTGTGTGGATTTTTAAGGGATGTACATTAAGTTTAGACTGAAGGGTGTGGCATGATGGAAAAAAACTTTAGGGACCCCTGTTGTAGTGGAAGGTTTTCTCTCATTAACTAGACAAAATTTCTAAGCAGAAAACATCCAAATATTGTACTTGGATAATTAATATTTGAGTTTTCTGAAGCAAAGCAACTAGATCCTGTGTCTCTTCTCTGTTCCTTTACCAGACATGACTGCTTATCTAGTAGGAACTGGGAGGAAAATATTTCTGTCTTTCTGTATCTTTATTTCTGTCAAAGCATCCAACCCTACAATCCAACCTTTTGCAAACCAATCGCCAGGACTGATTTGCAACATGACTTCACTGAGTGAAAAGGTCACACAGATCCTGGATAAGGAAGCTTCAGGTAAAACTGCCCTGGGCAAGTTTGACATCTTTTTATTTCACTCTCAAACAATCACAGTCGAAAACAAGTCTCACCCCAACTCCATAATTCCATAATTGTACTCTTGACAGTCAAGTGACTCTTGCAGCGGAATAGAACAGAACAGAACAGAACAGAATAGAATAGAATAGATTTTTTTTATTGGCCAAGTGTGGTGGGACACACAAGGAATTTGTCTTGGTGCAAATGCTCTCAGGGTACATAAAAGAAAGGATACATTCGTCAAGAGTCAAGAATCATCAGGTACAACACTTAATGAATGTGTTGATGCTACTTTGAGATGCTAAAGGTGCTTTTTTAAGGAAGCAACTGGGCTTTGTTGTTTTTTCTTTGAAGAAGTTTTGCTTCTTGGATGAGAAGCGTCTTCAAAGAAAAAACAAGGAAGTCCTGTTGCCTCCTGAAAAAGCACCTTTGGGACAACCATGGCCTGGATGACTGAGAATCTTTGTAGACTTTTTCCTACTTTGAGAGTAAGATTATATAGATCATGCTCATCATGGCATTATAAGTCTGCACTATTGTTACTATTAATCTTATCACCCATCCCCTCCCACTTGTGACGGTATGACTATAACTTTGTCACTTGTATCCTAATGATTTATATTGACTGTTTCCTAGTATGATTTGACTGCTTATTGTAGCCTCTGACTATTATTAAATGTTGTACCTTATGATTCTTGACTCTTGACGAATGTATCTTTTCTTTGATGTACACTGAGAGTTATTTGCACCAAGACAAATTCCTTGTGTGTCCAATCACACTCGGCTAGTAAAGAATCCTATTCTATAAAACAGAATTCTATAATAGCAATAGCACTTAGACTAATAAACTGCTTTATAGTGCTTTACAGCCCTCTCTAAGCGGTTTTACAGAGGGAGCCTCTTGCCTCCAACGATCTGGATCCTCATTTTACCCACCTCGGAAGGATGAAAGGCTGAGTCAACCTTTGAGCCTGGTGGGATTTGAACTGCCAAATTGCAGGCAGCCGATAGTCAGCAGAAGTGGCCTGCAGTACAGCACTCTCACCACTGCGCCACTGAAGCTCTTATAATGTATAAGATGCTAAAGGAGTGATGGGTTGCATGCTTGTTGATAAGCCAAAATTCTCCAAAATTATTTGATGTGAACATGACCACAATCATTGCAAAAATATGCTGCCCGCCATAACTGATTCTATTGCTGTCATGATGGGATGATCAATGTTTGTGGAGATTCTCAATCATCCAGGTCATGGTTGTCCCAAAAGGTGCTTTTCCAAAAGGCAACTAACTTTCTTGATTCCCCACCCCACCCCCTGGGAAAAATCCAAGAAGCTAAACCTTTTCAAGGGGAAAATAACCCCAAGAAAGCCCAGTTACCTTTTGGAAAAACAGATTTGGGATATTCTGTTCAATCTTTTCCTGCATTTTAAGTATTTCAAGCAAGTTCTATTCTGGCCTCCAGGCCTGTTTCATAGATAAACACTCTTTGTTATTACCTAAACTGACCAACTGGTCATTAACAACATGCACAATAACTGACAAGGGACAACATATCATATTTTTACATACCAGCTTAATAATTCTGGCCTCTGACAATGCAAATATTGCAAGCATTTTTGCTTAAATTCAGGGCAAGCTGAAACCCTACTTAGTTTTGCCTACCTCTTAAATGTTGGATCAAAACTTTTTCAAAAGTAAATATACATGATTTGCTATTAAATCCTGAGCCAGATCAGCGGTCTCATTCCTACACCTCATTATTATCTCACTGCAGTTCCAGTCATTGAAAAATAAGTCTAAAAGAAATGGCACGTCCAACATATTTGCTTGGAACTGACTTTGTAAACTCTGCCTCAGACACAGAACAAATTTAAAAGTCAATTTTGTAAACTGCTAGCACTGTTATTGGCCAATAATATTTACACAATCAACCATTCTTAGATTGCAACATCAAAGACAAAAGACAGCTTGTTGGATGTTTCTGTAACTGGCCAAGCCATGATATGCTGGAAAAGATATTGACTCCATATGCAATGGTTCAAGCTGCCTAAACATTTCAGGTTGAGGTGGATGGAAATTTTGTTTAATGCCACCTTCAACCATCAGCTCGTACCTCTGGATCAATACCCCCAAACTGAAGTCATGTCAGAACCATTAGCCTTTTTATCAACCATTAATGGCCAACTTTGAAAATAGTTAAGTAGAGTGGATTTCCATAATCAAAGGCTGCTGGGGAAGGTTAGAGCCTTTTTTTCTTAAACCCAGACTGGAGTTGTTGTGGTGGTTCTTGTTGGAGTGGAATGACTCTTTCCATGGTCAAAGTAGTGCAATATATATAGTTAGCTCTCTCTATTCGTAGCTTATGAATATGGGAATAAATTCCCTCCGGTAAGCAATGATGATAAAATGCCTCCATACTTATTTGTTCTACTAATTAGCAAGAAAAAGGAAGAGTTAGATAATAAACTAAATGCAAATCAACTCAATGACACTAAACTTGCAACTCCTAAGACAGAGAAATGCTAAAGCAATTATTTTAAACCTCCATTTAACCATGCTTGGAATCTGTCTCAGCAGCCTTTAATAAAACTAATGAAATTAGAAAATTTAAAGCATTTAATGACAAATTATTGATAAGAGTATGCAAAAGAGCTTAATGAAACCTTCAACAATTACTTTGTTGTAGTTGAAGCAGTGTGCAATATATAGCCATTTGCATTTCTTTTTTTCTCTACATAATAGAGATAATTAAAGACAATGGAGTGTGTCAAGCCCACCCTTACAAAGTAGCTCCCAGGATGAGGGTTTGAGGGCTTCTGTTTACACTGTCTGGATCAGGTTGTATCACATTCCTCTGACTACAGTACAGATGAAGATGTCAACAGGGAAACCAAAAGTTCTAGGAAATAGCAGGTTAGAAGCATTCCCATTCGGAACACCGCTCATTCCAAACTCTCATTATACACATCAGTAAGTCTATCCTAGCCAAGCCTAAATCAGAATAAACAGAATAATCTAGTTCTGGAAGGAAACACAGTGGGGCAACAGCTTAAGGACGCTGCTGAACAGAAATGGTCTAAATGCCGGAAGGTGGTTCGAGTACTCGTAATACCACGGGATGGGACAAGCTCCTGTCACTCAACTCTAGCTCCTGCCCCACGCATCCAGTGGGGGAAGTAGCACAGGCATGTGCAGAGGTGCGCAGTGTGTGTGTGGGTCACATGTGCATTGCATTATGGGTGCAGGCATGTACCCACTTTTGTCATGCAACGAGGAAAAGGTTAGCCATCACTGCCCTAGGAAGCAGTACTAGTAGTAACAGCTTATTGACTTAGCCTCTCACCCTCTTGTTTTTCAAAGTGGGACATACAGTATACCTTACAGTGCAACACAGCTTATATAGAAAAAATGTTTTTTATACATCAAATTTGAACAACTATTTAATTCAATTTAGCAAGTGCAGATTTAACAGTAACTTTAGTATTTGCGAACCAAGGTATGTATGTACTTTGTTATTTACTCCTGATTTTTTTTTGGGGGGGGGGTGTTATATTTGAAATAACAATTTAACTGCAGGTCACCTTGTTGAAACACGAGATTGTCACAACGTAAACAAGACTAATAATGACAAAAGTGGAGAGAAACTTCATTTTCAATTAACATGTCATTTATATGCTAGCATATAACATTAAGACATAGTTCATGCTAAGAAAGTAAAACATGAACTGGAAACCAATGGATGAAATTAAATACATAGCATTAAAAGTGGGCAGCTATTTTAGTATTCATAATTAGTGACCAGGGACAAAAGGTTGTACCATCAAGAATCACCTACTTGATTTTGTTTCACTAATAAAATTTATATATATATAAAAAAATCACCTACTTGCTGTAACATTTCAGCGGCACAATATTGGGGTATTTCAGGGACTGTAGGAAAGGAACTGGGGGTCCCATCCATTTGAATGATGTTGAAGGCACCTCCACTCAAAGGAGCCATGTTGGCTCAGTGGTTAGAATGCAATAATGCAGGTTAATTCTGCTGACTGCCAGCAGTTCAATTCTCATCAGCTCAAGGAGACTTAGCTTTCCATCCTCCCGCGGTCGGTAAAACGAGGACCCAGATTGTTGGGGGCAATAGGCTGACTCTGTAAACTGCTTAGAGAGAGCTATCAAGCACTGTGAAGTGATACATAAAGTCTAAGTGCTATTGCTATTCAGACACGAGGAGCTATCTCCAAATCTGGCCTCAATAGCAATAACATTTAGATTTATATACTGCTTCACAGTGCTTTACAGCCTTCTCTTAGCAGTTTACAGAGTCAGCATATAGCTTCCAATAATCTGGGTCCCCGTTTTACCGACCTTGGAAGGACGGAAGGCTGAGTCAATGTTGAGTCAATGAGAATCGAACTGCCAAAATGCTGGCAGCCGGCAGAATTAGCCTGCAGTACTGCATTCTGACCATTGAGCCACCCCAAAATCTTACTTTATAGAATATGCCCTTCATTTCAGCCATTAAATCCATAGACTCTCCACGTGAATTTGCTTTAGTTAAATGTAAGGGCTTTGTGGCAAGGAAATGTCACAGGTAGTTGTTACTTACTGTTTACATAGACATTAAATGTTATAGAGGAGTTGGCGTCTGAATTGGAGACAAAAAATGTATAAAGACCTCCTTCCATTTCCTTTAGCCGGGTAAGATGAAGCTCACTGGAGTAGCTACAGGAGGAATAAAACAGCAACCTTCATTACTCACTTCATGGCAGACTGTCTGGATGCTTTTTTATAATGTACTACTAAAATTAAACAGACACCTTATAGGTTTATACAATCAGCTACAGTCAGAGGTTCACTTAGGGAAGGGAACATCGCCAATCATTAGATTCCAAGAAAAGCAGGAAGATCTCTTCCCAGCCAAGTCTGTACAGGTAGTCCTCAACTTACGAGAGTTCATTTAGTGACCATTTGAAAATAGCACTGAAAATAGTGACTTATGACCATTTTTCACACTTACGACCATATGTGGCAAGAAGAATTGTAAAATGAGGCAAATTCACTTAAGAAATGTTTTACTTCGCATCGTAAATGTTGGGCTCAACTGAGGTCATAAATTGAGGATTACAGCAAACAGATAATCCGAGTTGGAAGGGACCTTGTAGGTCATAGTCCAACCCCCCGCCCAAGCGGGAGACCCTACACCATTTCTGACAAATGGCAGTCCAATCTCTTCTTGAAGGTCTCAAGTGATGAAGCTGTCACAACTTCCGAAGGCAACTTCTGTTCCATTGCTTGATTGTTCTGTCAGAAAGTTTCTTGTTATTTCCAGGTTGAATCTCTCCTTGTTTAGTTTTCATCCATTATTCCTTGTCTGGCCTACAGGCGCTTTAGAAAATAGATTGACCCCTTCCTCTCTGTGGCAGCCCCTCAAATATTGGAAGACCGCTATCATGTCTCTCCTGGTCCTTCTCCTCACTAGACTACCCAGGCCCAGTTCCTGCAACCATTCATCGTATGTTTTAGTCTCCAGTCCCCTAATCATTCCAGTTGCTCTTCTCTGTACTTTTTCTAGAGTCTCAACATCTTTTTTATAATGTGGTGATCAAAACTAGATGCAGTACTCTTAGGTGTGGTCTTACTAAGGCTTTATAGAGTGGTATTAGTACCTCACTTGATCTCGATTGTATCCCTCTGTTAATGCAATTTAGGATTGCATTGGCTTTTTTGGCGGCTGCTGCATACTGCTGGCTCCTATTTAGCTGGTTGTCCACTAAGACTCCAAGATCCCTCTCACAGTTCCTGCTATTAAGCCTGGTTTCACCCAGTCTGTACGTGTCCTTTTGGTTTTTCTTACCTAAGTGTAGGATTTTACTTTTCTCTACACTGAATTTCATTGTGTTAGGTAGGTCCCAGTATTCTCGTCTGTCAAGATCCATCTGGATCTTGAGCCTATCTTTTTGGGTGTTAGCTGTTCCTGCCAGCTTAGTATCATCTGCAAATTTGGTAAGTTCCCCTTCTACTCTCTCATCTAAGTCGTTAATGAAGATATTGAAGAGTACTGGGCCTAAGACGGAACCTTGTGGCACCCCACTGCTTACTTCCCTCCATGTAGACTTAGACCCATTAAGGACTACTCATTGAGTACGGTTAGCCAGCCAGTTGCGATTACCTGTATAGCATATCCGTACAGAAAATTAACGGAACAGTTCTGTGGTATTTGCCCTCCACCTCCATACATTGATACTTTGGTCCCATACCTTACCTGTTTTTGTCTATATTTGTAACTCTCACATAATGATCAGATGAATTCTGCAGTGTTTCGTTCATGTATAGCCACATTTCTTCTTCTGGTTTCGGATACGCTTCATACATTACTACCAAGCCCAGACTTTCCCCGTCGTTGACATAGAGTGTTGTATTTGTTGAAGTTGATAAACTGATATATCCTTTACCTGATGGAAAAAAATTTTAAACCTCTCTTTAGAATCTTTGTATATTGACATTCATAAAATGCTAAAACCAAGGTCAATGAATACAGAAGCCCAACTAAATTGCAACTTGTAGAAAAGCAAGCCTTAATAGCTAATGAGTGCTAATGACATTTTACTGAATGAAGGGAACAAAATAATGCTTTGCACATAGACCATATATTTATATACCATCTACACCTATAGGGTCACTTCTGACTTCCATACACATAAATCAAATCAATACACATAAATTCTAATCAATGTGTATGTCTTTATTTTTTTAATCTCATTAAATACAGCCTACTATTTGCCTAGATGAGCTCCCAACCAAGTTGGTGGGGCAAAAAAAACCAACAATAAACATAAAACAAAAACCAGCAAAAACTAGTTATCAATTATAAAGATATCTTTGTATTAATATCCAAGAACAATCAGTCATACTAGCTCCTGAACAGCAGAAAGTCCGCCACTGTTTCAAAATAATACATGTCTACAGCAGATATTTCGAAACAAATGACTCTTGATTAATCTTCACAAGAAAATCATAACAATTGGATCAGTAAGTATGTCCTTGTTTTAGTTGCCAGTCTTATATTGGAAGATTTTTTTTTTAACAATGATGCATCTCTTCATATTTCTGGAAATGTGCCTGTCATTATTTACCACTGATAATGGCAAATATTATCATCGGGAAATTCTACAATATGACATCTAAGTTTTATTTATTCCTATGTAAAATAATAGCATTTAAGCAACAGAGAAAGTAGGGGTGTGAAAAAAAACTTTCTTTTTGCCAATTACAGATAAAGACATGTTCAGAATACTCCTGCTAATTACACTACATGAATATGCTCCTAATCAGTTTAGCATTTATGGTAATTTTAATATTTAAAAAGTATTATGTGTCACAGCAATCTAGCACTCTAGGGTGGCTTTTCAGGAAAGCATGTTAATAAACAGCAGAGTGTAATAAGCATTTTTGATGGCTTCTAGCAGAGGGTGTAGCAGATAACAGATAATCAGAGTTGGAAGGGACCTTATAGGTCATCTAGTCCAACCCCCACTGAAGCGGGAGACCCTACACCATTTCTGACAAATGGCAGTCCACTCTCTTCTTGAAAGTCTCAAGTGATGAAGCTGTCACAACTTCCGAGGGCAACTTCTATTCCGTGGGTTGATTATTCTCACTGTCAGAAAGTTTATCCTTATTTCCAGGTTGAATCTCTCCTTGTTCAGTTTCCATTATTCCTTGTCTGGCCTACAGGCGCTTCAGAAAATAACTTAACCCATTCCTTCTCTCTGTGGCAGCCCCTCAGATACTGGAAGGCTGCTATCATGTCTCCCCTGGTCCTTCTCTTCACTAGACTAGCCATGCCCAGTTCCTGCAACTGTTCATCATATGTTTTAGTCTTCAGTCCCCTAATCATCCTGGTTGCTCTTCTCTGTACTCTTTCTAGAGTCTCAACATCTTTTTTATATTATGGTGACCAAAACTGGATGCAATACTCTTAGGTGTGGTCTTACTAAGGCTTTATGGAGTGGCATTAGTATCTCCCTTGATCTTGATTGTATCCCTCTGTTAATACAACTTAGGATTGCATTAGCTTTTTTGGCTGCTGCACACTGCTGGCTCCTATTTAGCTGGTTATCCACTAAGATTCCAAGATCCCCCTCACAGTTACTGCTATTGAGCCTGGTTTCACCCAGTCTATATGTGAACTTTTAGTTTTTCTTGCCTGTGTAAGACTTTACTTTTCTCTACATTGAGTTTCATTTTGTTAGATACAATTGCAACACACAATGGGGCCCAGCTTTTTAGTGAGCTCTGGAAATCAAACCTTTCACACTAAAATGGACTCTTTGGGCATAATCCAGTATTATTGAGGGAGCAGCTTTTGCAGGTTTCTCTCTGCTCAATTACCAGACGAGGCTGTATTTCATATGCTTTAAAGACAAGGTTGAACCTGGACAAAAGCACTACTAGGGGTATGCCAAGGTCTGGGTTTGAAGGGCAAAATGTGATTAAGTGCACATGTAGCATCTGTTGAGAATACTTAGATCAAACCTATCTTCTCCTGGAGTCACATGTCCATTGCAGAAGGGAACCCACATGAGCCCAGGAAAAGGAAAAAGCTGGTTTCAGGCATTTATTATTGGGTCTACAATGCGATATGCTGCCTGCTCCTAATCCCGTTTTGCCTTTCAAATCTAATTCTTTGCACAACCTAATATAGTATTTAAGTATTCAGAAGTGTTTAAAACCTCCTAACGGTGAGAACAATTAACCAGTGGAACAGCTGGCTTTCAGAAGTTGTGGGTACTTCATCACTGGAGGTTTTTAAGAAGAGACAGTCACTTGTCTGAAATGTTATAGAGTTTCCTGCTTGAGCAGGGGGTTGGACTAGAAGACCTTCAAGGTCTCTTCCAGCTCTATTCTGTTCTGTTCTGTTCTATTCTATTATTTCCTTTCCTGCTCTGTTCTATTCTATATTCTGTTCTATTATGTTCTGTTTTGTTCTACTCTACTCTATTCTTCTATTCTATTCTACTCTACTCTATATTTTATATTCTATTTAAATTTAAATATTGCTAGCAAGATTTCTCTTTAGTTACTTTATATATTTTCCCTTCTAACACATTTAAAAAATCATGACAACTTTTATAGAGAGACTGAGGGCCTACTGGAATTAATGCTATTTTGGACAGGAAGCTGGGAATTCTCCAATATTTTTTTAAAAAAATAAATCAACCTCAGTTTTAAAAACCTATTTCTTATGTCACACATCTTCTTTTGTTGTGGAAACACAATAACATAGACATTAAGAGATAAACAAACACCCAGGAGACATTTCTTCACACAACCCATTGTTCACATTCATCTTAAGGGGAGTTTGAAATGAAAACCTTCTTGATTGTAACCCCATGACCAAATAAACAGGAAACTTATAATTTCAGAGAAGACACAGTATGTTTCTAACATAATTACAGGTATTGCTTTACATCATATAAATTGGAAGCCAAAGTCTGAAACAGTAAATAAACCTTGTGCTATCTCTGTGTCTATACCAACATTTTATTGTATGTTTACAGTATTCCATTCAAGACTGGTTCTCTTTTTGTCAGAGGAAAGTAGGCGTTGAATCTTCATGCTTACATCGTACAATATTGGAGACCCATCACGCAGAGCCCTATTCTGCTGGTAAACTTTTATCGATTATAATCAGATTCTTTATTTTTGATCTGTCAAGTCTGCCATATTCATGAGACTAGCAATAATATGAGACAGTGCATGAAGGTAAAGGCTTCATGGTAAAGGATGCATTAACAGAGAACCAATACCACTCTATAAAGCCTTAGTAAGGCCACACCTAGAGTACTGCGTCCAGTTTTGGTCACCACACTATAAAAAAGATGTTGAGACTCTAGAAAGAGTGCAGAGAAGAACAACCAGGATGATGAGGGGACGGGAGACTAAAACATATGAAGAACAGGAACAGTTACAGGAACTGGGCCTGGCTAGTCTAGTGAAGAGAAAGACCAGGGGAGACATGATAACAGTCTTCTAGTATTTGAGGGGCTGCCACAGAGAGGAGGGGGTCAAGCTGTTTTCCAAAGCACCTGAAGGCCACATGAGAAACAATGGAGGGAAACTGATCCAGGAGAGATTCAACCCAGAAATAAGGAGAAACTTTCTGACAGTGAGAACCATCAACCAATGTTGCCCTTGGAAGTTGTGGGAGCCTCATCACTTGAGACTTTCCAGAAGAGATTAGACTCCCATCTGCCAGAAATGGTGTAGGGTCTCCCGCTTGGGCGGGGGGTTGGACTAGATAACCTACAAGGTCCCTTCCCACTCTGATTATCTGTTCTCTGGCTATTGCCCAAAGTCCCATCGTTCTAGAAGTATTGATTAGGCCTTCAAAGGGACGTCAGCTGAAGGAATACTTCTTTACGGACTTCCATTTCTTCAACTAGGTACAGCCAGGAGCACCTCTCAGAAGATCTGCAATGAATGGGGGCATGTCGTTCCTACTTCTCACTTTCCCATCATAATAATCGAAGAGTGGAAAGGGACCTCAGAGGTGCTCTAGTCCAACCCCTGCTCAAACAGGAGACCCTGTACCATTCCATACAAAGGGCTGCCCAATCTCTTCTTAAAAACCTCCAGCCATGGAGCGTGCACAGCTTCTGGAGGCAAGCCACGCCACTGATCAACTGCTTTCACTATCGGGAAACTTCACCTTAGTTTTAGGTAAGATCTCTCCTTGATAAGTTTCCATTCATTACTTCTTGTCCTGCCCTCGGGGGCTTGGGATAATTGGTCAAACGCTTCTTCTCTGTAACAACCCCTCAAGCACCACAAAACCGCTATCATGTAATCTATAGTCCTTCTCTTTATTAGACTAGACATACCTAGTTCCCGTAATCATTCATCATATGGTTTACCCTCTAGAGCCCTTATCATCTTTGTTGCGCTTCTCTGCACTCAGATAACAGATAATCAGAACTGGGAGGGCCCTTGTAGGTCATCTAGTCCAACCCCCCGTCCAAGCGCGAGACCCTACACCATTTCTGACAAATGGCAGTCCAATCTCTTCTTGAAGGTCTCAAGTGATGGCGCTTCCACAACTTCCAAGGGCAACTTCTGTTCCATTGGTTAAGTGTTCTTTCTCATTGTCAGAAAATGTCTTCTTATTTCCAGGTTGAATCTCTCCTTGTTCAGTTTCCATCCATTATTCCTTGTCTGGTCTACAGGCGCTTTAGAAAATAGCTTGACTCCTTCCTCTCTGTTACTGCTATTGAGCCTGGTTTCACCCAATCTATATGTGTACTTTGGTTTTTCTTGCCTAAATGTAGGACTTTACTTTTCTCTACACTGAATTTCATTTTGTTAGATATGGCCCAGTGTTCTGTTCAGATCTATGTGGATCTTGAGCCTATCTTCTTGGGTGTTAGCCGTTCCTGCCAGCTTAGTATCATCTGCAAATTTGGTAAGTTCCCCTTCTATTCCCTCATCTAAGTCGTTAATGAAGATATTGAAGAGTACTGGGCCTAAGACGGAACCTTGTGGCACCCCACGCTTACTTCTCTCCATGTAGACTTAGACCCATTAAGGACTACTCATTGAGTACTATTTCTGGAATCCCAACATCTTTTTTGTATTGTGTTAATTAAAATTGGATGGAGTATTCCAAGCATGGTCTTGGAAGTAACACTTCACGTAATCTTGATACTACCCCTCTGTTGATACAGCCTAGGAGTGCATTGGCTTTTTTTGGCATCTGCATCATACTGCTGGCTCATTCTTAATTGGTGTCCAGTAGGACTCCTTGCTCCCTCTCACAGTTACTGCTGTTGAACCAGGTACCACCTATTCTAACCCTTTGCAGTAGAGTTTTCTTGCCTAAATGTAAAACCTTGTTTTTCCCACCACTGAATTGCATTGTGTTGGACAGGGCCTAATGTGTGCTGCCGTGCTCATGCACACGTGCACACATGCATACACACACCATGGGTGTAAGTTGTCTTTATTAAGGTTTCCAAGCCTGAATTGGTATTCTTCTGCGGTTCCCTGTGCTGGCACCAGCTCGACCTCACTAAGTTCTACAGGCTACTCAAATTAAGCCAACCCTAGTCATCAAGTCAAGGCAAGTCCTGTCCACCAGGCAAAAGCAAGTTCCCAAGGCAAAGGCAAGTTCCAAGACAAAGGCAAGTCCACAGTCAAAGGCAAGGCAAGTTGAAGAGAAACTATCCAAAATTCAAGGCAAGAACACACAGCAAGGAAACGAACACGTTCCCAGAAACATCTCCATCTGTCTGCTGTGCTAAATAGCCAGTGTGATGACCCAGGGTGGGATACAAAACAAACACAGTCACAGAAAACAGGTGAAGCCCCTTTTATTCCTTCTCTTTGCTTCCAAGCTCCAAATATTCTTAACGGAAGCCAAAACAGTTACAAGAAGAAGGGAAAAAGCAACACAAACCAGGCAAGATAAGGGCTGGAGGACATCGACAGATAACAGAACACACACTGGGAAGGACACCAAACTCAGAGAGGAGCCATCAACTAGAGATATTTCCACAATTTGTTTCCAGCGTTTGCCCGTATGCATGTCCGTCCTTTTATTCAGTTGTCACAGCTGCAGCCCATGAAGAGGGTCAAGGCCCTCTCCTCCCGAGTAGACCACGTCTCTCCCTTATCCTCTCCTCCCTTTGTGCCCTAGGATGGAGAGGGGATGGGCCTGGGTCCTCCTCTGACTGCTCAGCTGGCCTCTGCCCTTCCCCAGCCTCCTCCACAACCTCTGGAGCTACACTTCCACTCCCTGTCGGCTGTTCCTCCTCTCCCTCAGAGTCAGTCTCCACCAGGGGCGTGACAGCCAGCTTCTGGTACAAGAGAGGCAAGGCTGCCTCCTCATGAGTAATTAAGCTGACCTTCTCTGTTCCTGCCTTTTCTATGCCCTATATGTTCTTGGATCAGATACAGAAGGCAGTTCCTTCTCCTCCTCATCGCTGACCAGTTGCAGCGGAGTACTTTCCCCATCTGAAGCCTCAGGGCTGTCCTGCTACAGATGTGCTTCAGTCAAATCACTTTCAGATGGCTGCTGAGCGCTACTGACCAACTCCCCTCCTGATGTACCCGGAACATGTTCATTCTCCTCTGAGTTGACATCTGGGGAAGCATCCGGGGGAGTCATCACATAGTATTCAAGTCTATCAAGATCTTCTGAATCTTGATCCTTTCTTCTAAAGTGCTACCTATTCTCCCCAGCTTGCTGTCATCTGCAAATTTGATGAGTTCCCCTTCCATCCCTTCACCTGAATCATTTATGAAGATTTTGAAGAGTACTGGACCTTTAACAGAACCTTGGGGTACCCCACTGCTTACTTCCCTCCATGTAGTTAATAGTTCCATTGAGTACTACATATTGGATGCAGTTGGTCAGACAATTACAAATCCATATGTATGCCTTACTGAAGTCCAAGTATAAATACTATGTCCACAGCATTTTACTGGTCTACTAATTTAGTCACTTTTGTCAAAGAATGCAAAGTAAGTAAGGTTTGTCTGGCATGATCTGTTTTCGACAAACCCATGTTGGCTTCTAGTAGTAGCTTTGCTTGTTTCTAGGTGTTCGCAGAGCCATTGCTTGATTATCTTTTTCCAGGATCTTCCCAGATATTGATATCAGGCTGACTGGTATGTAGTTTTCTGGATCCATTTTCTTTTTCTTTTCTTAAGACAGAAATTACATCAGCTATCAACCTGCCTTCAATCGAAGACCTGTATACTGCACGAGTCAAAAAGAGAGCTGTGAAAATATTTACAGACCCCCCCACATCCCGGACATAAACTGTTTCAACTCCCACCCTCAAAACGATGCTATAGAGCACTGCACACCAGAACAACTAGACACAAGGACAGTTTTTCCCCAAATTCCATCACCCTGCTAAACAAATAATTCCCTCAACACTGTCCAACTATTTACAAAGTTTGAACTACTATTACTATTAATCTTCTCCTTATCACCCATCCCCTCCCACTTATGACTGTATGACTATAACTTTGTCGCTTGTATCCTTACGATTTATATTGACTGTTTCCTAGTATGATTTGATTGCTTATTGTACCCTATGACTATTATTAAGTGTTGTACCCTATGATTCTTGACTCTTGATGAATGTATCTTTTATCTCCACTGAGAGCATCTGCACCAAGACAAATTCCTTGTGTGTCCAATCACACTTGACCAATAAAGAATTCTATTCCATTCTATTCTCTTTTCCAATACTCTGGTAGTTCCCTAATAAAGTTTGGACCTAGTCCGTTTCTGCAATATGGCAGCAATTTGACTCTAACAAAGCATGTTTATGGCTTCTTCACTGACTGTAGAAATATTGTCACAAAAGAATACAGGCAACTTTTGCGTCCAATTACATCTTCAATCCCAATTCATACATTACATCTGTCAGAACATATTTTATCTGAAAGATTTACATTATGCCGGGATCCCATTATCAAAATATAAACTAAAACTACTAACCCAAGCTTCCTTTGAAACTGTACCATCCACAAATCATTGCATTCCAAATGTTGAAAAATCAGCCTGACTTTGAGATGATTTAAACAGGACACTTTTTACATACATGCATACTATGCAATTCCATTCTTAATTATGATGCACATAGTTACATGCAGGGGTGGGATTCTACAGGTTCGCACCTATTCGCTAGAACCAGTTGTTAACATTCTAAGCAGTTCGGAGAACGGGTTGTTAGAAGAAATTACTGACCTAATCCTGTAAGGAAGGCAGGAAGGAAACATTCTGGTGTTGCTTACAGAAGCTGCCTCTCCATTAACCCTTATTGCATTCTTGGCAGGACTAGACTTCCTATCTCAGGAACTTCTCTGGAGTTTTTTTCCCCCTTCTTTGCTGGTAGTTTGCTTGTGTGGAGTGACCATTGAAAAAAGTGACTTATGACCATTTTTCACACTTACGACTGTTGCAGCATCCCCACAGTCACGAGAGGCCAGGCGAGTAGATGCGTGTCTCGATGTGAGTGATGTTGAGTTGGCCACGCACAGCCAGTTACATGACCACCAAGCCATGTCTACCCAGTCACATGACCACCAAGCCAGTTAAAAAAATTGAATCCCACTCCTGGTTACGTGTAACTCAGATGATTGCATAAGTAGAAGCACACAACTAATACTTAGCTAGCATGGACGCATTTATTTAGTTAAGATAATTTATATCCCCTTTGAAAATCACTTAGGACACCTTATCAATGAAATACTGGCATTTGACACTGATCCTATCAGAAGGTAAGTAAGGTCACCTATATTTAGAAATTTGGGATGTGAACTTCCACTAGTCCCCAGCAAAGATTAGTGACAATGTCAGTCAAAACCATAATCCTGGCCAATATGATCAAATTACTCTCAATTTCCCAAGAGTATGTATATGTAATTGGCACTATCACAAGAGTTTTGATCCACTTATAATTATGGCACCATGGAAATATGACTATTACTACCCTAGGACTACATACAAGCACAAACTCAAGGAAATGTTCTTTTTACATGGACTTTGTTTTTACGAAGAACTATCTCTGTATTGCGAAACAGGAAGTGGGAGGGTTAGCGTTAAAAACATATTGAAACATACATTTCAACATATATTCCAACAATGTACAGTGTGTAGCTTCTGCTCTAACCCTGGCATTATGTATATATGTCTGCAATAATTAATATTTACCTATGACATTCAAGGTTACAGTGACATTAGATGTTCCAAAAGCATTGGTTGCTTGGCACGTGAAAGCTCCAGAATCATTAACTCCCACTGAACGGATGCTCAGCCTTAATTTTTGTTCATATTCATAATCACGCACATTCTTGCTTTTCCTGGAAAGGCTCTGTCGGTGAGGGGGGGAAAATTAACATCTAAGATACAGTGTACATAGCATCATTCTCAAATAAATTAAAAATAGATGTAATTATAACTTCACCGTATTAATATTCATAACTTAAAACTTGAATAATAAGCCATCATGACAAACCTGTCACTGGAATCTATCCATAGAAAACATCTATATTCTTAAAGCTTGTCTTGAGGGGACAAAAATGAAATGACAAAAATGAAGAAGTACTTCTTAGGATTGTTCTTACTGTCTTTGCTCTGTTCTACATCTTGCATTTTTGGTATTTGATGGCCTCTTTGGGCAATAAACTCAGAATGAAATTTGCCCTAAGAACATTCAATATCATGAAGTGCTTTCCAAATTAAGTTTGCATCATGGCAGTCATTGTAAGCTCTATGTGTGTGTGTGTCTGTGTCTGTGTGTATGTGTCTGTATTTTAAAACTGGTTTGTGAGTTTTCATAATTGATAATAAGTGATAATATGAAAAAATCCAGGAGCTCTTACAGCGTTCCTGAGGTAACACTGAAAGAATTTCAGATTCTTGGGATGCCTGAGCAAGAAATCACAGCTGTCAAACAACTGTGATTGTGTTTTTTTTTAAAGTTGACATTGGACCCCTGCTGTGGGGGTAACAAAAGAAAAATGTTCTATAGAAGGAAGGAAAGATCCTATTGAGTCAAAATATATATTTACAAACAAAGCATCTGACTTCCTAACTGCATTTAGCAAGGAATCTGAGTGCTACCAGCACAGTGCTGAACATACGTAATACTACTTTTTTATTAAACACAATGCAAATTTCAACTCTGCCCAAATATTATGATAGCTGTTTATTAACACGTGCTAAAGCAAATTTAGTTTCAAACAAAGCTAAAAGGGAGCTAAAAACTTGAATGCAATATTTAAAATGATATTGGAACTGTTTCAGAACTCCAAGATGTAGGCCCTGTATGGACCATATACGTTTTGTGTCTGCTTTACTTCAGAATGGATGAGTTAGGATCAGTCAATAAATAAGCACTTAAAAGACAGGAATTATGCCAGCACCAGAGGATTAATGGAGGATGGCTGGTAGCACACCAGGGACATGTTATCCAAATTGTACTTTCTTGAGACTGTATAATTTCTCCAGCATTGCAACACTGCAACAGTCTTCCTATTTACATGAGCTGCTGATTACATATTTTAATCACTGCCATTAACAGTTGTCAATTAAGACTAAAATGGCTGTACTCAGCAAGGTTGGCTGGACTCTTTGGGAAAGTTTTCCTATACAGTTATTTACATATTTTTAAGCTATATGGGTGACTTGAGTCTAATTCAATCCAGTCTTATTCATATTTAATTAATTTCTATGAAAATTAGAAATAAACTAATTTTTAAATTAAATCATTTCTATGCGCCCATATCGCTAATACAGCGATTTTGGGTAACTTATAATATAATAAATAGTTTAGAAGTGTTAAAAAAAACAATTAAAATTAGAATAAAAAGTTTTTAAAAATCAACAACCAAGATGACGGACAGCCTGGGTGTGAGAGCTTTCTCTACCCTGTCAACGACCTCCAATGTAGCAGGCCAAACAGGAGAGCCAAGTTTTTAGATTTTTCCAGAAGGCCAGGAATTATGGGCACATCTCAACCCCCGATGATCGAATATTCCAGAAGGTGGAGGCCACAGAAGAAAGTTGTGGTTAAAATTTAGTAGCAAGAATGGCTGCTATTAAAAATATTCATTCGAAAGTGTGCCTTTTCATAGGTCCCATATTGGAACTGAACTCATTTTATATACAGTGTGTGTAAATCAGGTTTGATTTGAGCGGCTTAGATAATCAAATCCTTTCATTAAGAGCTATGAACACACACATATAGACACATTATGTTTCAGTCACCAACTCCCAAGGTTGTTTCAGATATCCAATAATCCAGAACAGCTTGTGTTTGTTTCTCCTGACACACTCAACTCTCACTTCTAAACAACAACTGGGCAGAATGCCCTCTATTATTTTAGTTTAATTTGACATTCAACCCTTGAAACTGACCACACCCTTGTCAGAATTTATGTTTCTGCTCTACTTTTTAGCAAGACATCTCTAATGTATACTTTCTGTAACACATACACGGTTAAACTTCCTTTCCCATGTTCATGCACTTCCCAATGACCTGGTGATGAGCAAAAAATTTGTTTTCTATACTAGACAATTTGAGAATAGTATTCTATACTATTCTCAAATTGTGTTCATTCTCATTTCTTGTACTCTTTCAATCATAATTCTATCAAATGCTATCTTAGGAACAGTTAGGAAAGTTACCCTTTCTTAGACGGCCTGAGTCATATCAGTCATGTGGTCAGCATAGAACTTAATTTTTTTCTCTTTTAATGACCCTGTAATCACTTGCATTGGGGTGGAGTTGGGACAATGAAATGGAGCTGAGCGTTTACTAGCCGGATCCACTTCCTGACACCTACATGGAGCTCACAGCAGATATTTTTTCTTTGCACCCAAAGAAATATCTGCCGCTACTTAGGATCAAACTCACAGCCTCCTGATTGTGAGGCAAGAACTCCATCTCTAGGCATGGAACTTAATATTTTTTTTAAAAAATGTTGCTGCCGTTTTTGAGTTCACTCATTTTTCTCAATACAGGGAAACAAAAACATTCTTCTAATCATCAGGCACAGCTGCAATCTTCACATGCATTAAGCATGTTGACAGCAAATCCACATAAACTACACTCGATATTAACACTTCTCCAGTTGCATCAACTCTACCTGCAACCTTGCTATTATTCAACATTCTCACAGTATTTAGGACTAAATTTTTATTGGCTTTTTCTCTTGAATGCTAACATTTGTAGTATTTGTTACAGTTCTACTCTTTCACATCAAATATCACTGACATTACATAAAAAATTTCAACCATACTTTTTCCACCAATTCATTTGTTTCATTCAAAATCATTTTGAGTCTTTAAAAGTAAATTTCATTTAATTCCACTTATTATGCCATAGATTCCTGCTTTCAAAATAGTTACTAATTTCCAAGGGTTTTGGTTTTTTTTTGCATTTTCTCTGTCTCTTTTAGTCTTGATTATTCCTTGCTTTCTTGGATTACATTATTTGTATACCTTTGAGATCTTATACCCATTATATTTTCTGCTCATCATTTATTGCAGCAATTGTTTTCTAATATGCATCTTTTTCTCATCCATATCCTCTTTCATTTCCTCATTGTATCAAAACTTTTTCCAATTTCTTACTTCCCATTGCCTTTTCTTTGTGCAGATGTTCTACTTTCACTTCTATTCAAGATTTGTCAATGTTATCATTCCAACAATGATGCCGCCCATGAATATTACTTTATCACAGCTAATATATCCATTGCTTTCCATGAATATTACTTTATCACAGCTAATAATGTATATCTCAGACATTTTCTTACTTTTATTTTTCAGAAAGACTATTCTTTCAAGTATATTGCTACAGATTAGGTATAATAAACTCACCGCATTGCCTTGAAAAATCCAATCAGTTTGCAGAAAACTATCTATATCCCTGATTGTACATGTAACTTCAAATTCTTCACCTTCTTTGAGAAGCTGGTTTGTTTTGGACAAGGTGATGGATGGTAAGGATTTGTGAACTAAAAAACAATCCAGATGCACATTGTTGTCATTATATGCAAAACTTTCAGAAAAGGGGGTTTGGAATTGACAGTTCTTAATCTTCCAATAAAGTCTCAGATTTGCTAAATGTATTTTAAACACCAGGACATATCACAGTTGTACTTTTTATCCAACTAAAAATGTAAAAACATTTATAGGCGCTATGTAACAAATACAGATAATAAGCCTGCCCTGCATTTAATCTTGCAAAAAGTCTAAAGGTCAGTTAGGAAACTCGTCTAATACCATTTCGTACGGTTATGATTCACAATCTTGAATCCATTGATGGGATCTGAGGCTATCTATTAGCTTGAGATATTTTCCTAATTATCTTACCTTTATATACAGTCAGTCCTTAACTTAGGACCCTAATTGAGCCCAAAATTTCTGTTGCTAAGCTAGACATTTGTTAACTGATTGTCAGGTTTCCAAGTGATTAAATCAATTTAAAAAGAAAAGAGCAAAGTCCATCTTCCAAAACAATTTCCTTTATTTGGGAAAGCATCAAATTGGCAAAGTCTGTTGTAATTCCGGATCTGACACAACCCAGAATTAATATTGGAAATTAGAAACAACCCCCAAAAGTCACATTCCCCAATGGAAGTGAATCAATGTTGCCTGGTCTCATCAATCTCCACCTCCAGGTCTCAGCAGGGTCAGCTTTTGTTTCCACGGGAAAGGAGAACCACCTAGCCTAAACAACTCTCTGTATCTGCACTCCTCCCACCTTAGGAATGTGGCAACCCTTCCCCCCATAACCAGCAGAGAAAGAAAGAAAAGGAATATATAATAAAGCTAAATAAAATGGCTACGCGTATGTCAATTTCGGGCTTGACACTGTTCCCCCCCCCCAATTTGTGACCTTTCTTGCCACAGTTGTTAAGTGAATCAATACAGATGTTAATTAGTAACAGTGAACTTGGCTTCCCCACTGACTTTGCTTGTCAGGTCGCAAAAGGGGATCACATTAACCTTGGAACACTGCAACTGTCATAAATAGGATTCAGTTGCCAAGTGTCTGAAGTTTGATCACATGACCATGGGGGCACTGCAAAGGTTGTGTGAAAACTTGTCATAGCTCACCTTTTTCAGTGCTCTTATTACCTCGAGTAATCACTAAACAAATTGTTAAGTCGAAGATTATCTATAAACTAGATACACTCTTTGCCAAACTGTACAAAAAAGAGATTGTACACAATGGTAAGACTGTAAGATATCTGAATTCAGCCGAAATGCATTTTTACCTGGTCTCACTACAAGTGTTATATCTTTTGAGCTTTTCTCAACTCCATCTTGTTGCGCCACACAACGGTAACAACCTAGAAATGATCTCTGTACATGTTTTATGGTGATCCCCTTCTGAGGATCAGGAACCAATGTCATATTTTCAGGCAGAGGTTTGGGACGACATCTTTTCAAGGTGAAATTGGAAACATCTGGATCTGTCACTGGGCAGATGATAAGAGCATCGCTGTCCTCCCTTCCAAAGATTGTGGGTCTATGAAAGAACAGAACCGCTGGATCTGTAATAAAAATTAAAAAGAAAAGACATTAAAACAGGGGAATTCCTACAAAGGTATAATGAGCCCAGTGGTGGGATTCAAAATTTGTTACTACCAGTTCTGTGGGTGTGGCTAGGTGGGCATGGCAGGGGAAGGATATTGTAAAATCCCCATTCCCTCCCTACTCCTGGGGGAAGGTTACTGCAAAATCCCCTTCCCTCCTCACCCCATTAACCTGCTTTCCAGCTCCGTTCTCCTGTGCAGGAAGACCCAGTCGATCAGCTGGGACTCGGGAGGCAGAGAATAGATGGGGGCAGGGACAGTCTCAGGTGGTATTTGCCGGTTCTCCAAACTGCTCAAAATTTCCACTACTGGTTCTCCAGAACTGGTCAGAACCTGCTGAATACCCCCCTCTGAATGAGCCATGTTTAAATTCCTATGATATCTTGGCTAACATCTAGCTTGGATCCCAAATTGTAGTACACTTTCATGTTTTTTTTTCATCATGCAGTGACAGTTGCATTAGAAGCAATGTTTTATATGCACATATTTAATGTTTCCTCCATATGGAGCATCCAAGAAATGTCAGGATTTTCTGGAAATACTTCATTGACTCTGGTCTTGCTAAAAAGCTCTCCCAACTGGAAATAATTCCAAGGAAGAGATAACTAAGTTTACCTTTGGCAGATGAGGAAAAACTAGGAATTTCTTCAGTATTTTAACAAAGATAGCTGTTCAAATTTAAAAGAGTATGGCTAATGTTGCTCCATTCAACTATCCACTCCTTTCATCCGGCAAGTCTTGCATCTTTCTCTTAGGCAGGCAGCCTGGACATTCTTGGAGTTGAATCCCAAGAATGTGTGAAATTGTCACAAGAGTGATTTCTTACTAAATTGCTTCCATGGGCAGATTTCATTTCTAGAATCCATCAGAATTTTCCTGGTCTTAGTCTTCATATGTCTTAGTCTCCATAGTCCTGGAGATTAAGACATTTGAAGAACAGTTGCAGGAATTGGGTTTGGCTAATCTAGAGAAAAGGAGGAATAAAACAATTACTACCAACAATTGCTACCAACCTGCCTTCCATTGAGGACCTGTATACTGCACGAGTCAAAAAGAGGGCTGTGAAAATATCTACAGACCCCGCACATCCTGGACATAAACTGTTTCAACTCCTACCCTCAAAACGACGCTATAGAGTACTGCACCAGAACAACTAGACACAAGGACAGGTTTTCCCCAAATGCCAGCACTCCGCTAAACAAATAATTCCCTCAACACTGTCCAACTATTTACAAAGTCTGCACTACTCTTACTATTAATCTTCTCATCACTCCTTATCACCCATCCCCTCCCACTTGTGACTGTTCGACTGTAACTTTGACTATCCTTACTATTTATATTGACTGTTTCCTAGTATGATTTGATTGCTTATTGTACCCTATGACTATTATTATTAAGTGTTGTACCTGATGATTCTTGACTCTTGATGAATGTATCTTTTCTTTTATGTATACTGAGAGCATTTGCACCAAGACAAATTCCTTGTGTGTTCAATCACACTTGGCCAATAAAAGAATTCTAGGGGATGACATGATGACAGTATTCCAATATTTGAGGGGCTGCCACAAAGAAGAAAGGGGGGGGTGTCAACTTATTTTCCAAAGCAGCAGAAGGCAAGACAAGAAACAATGGATGGAAACTAACCAAGGAGAGGAGGGAGCTGGGATTAAGAAGAAACTTCTTGACAGTGAGAACAATTAACCAGTGGAATGGCTTTGCCTTCAGAGGTTGTGAGGGCTTCATCACTGGAGGTTTTTAAGGAGACTATCTGAAATGGTATAGGGCCTCCTGCTTGAGGAGGGTAGGACTAGAAGACCTCCAAGGTCCCTTCCAGCTCTATTCTGATTGTCTGGTTTGTTTTTATAAGCAGGCTGCCGCAGCTGCCAAAAAGGCCATCACAGGCTACATCAACAAACGGATGAAATCAAGATCCCAAGAAGTGATAGTGCCGTTCGATGCTACGCTAGTGAAGCCACACTTGGAGTATTGTGTCCAATTCTAGTTGCCAGAATATAAAAAAAAAAGAGGCCGAGACCCTAGAATGAGTGCAGACAGCAGCAATGATAAGGGCTCTGGAGGCTTAAACTGTTATGGGGAACAATTGAGAGGACTAGGTAGAGTTATGCCAAGCCCAACAAGAGGGGTGATATGATAGCTGGCTTATAGAACGTGAGGGGCTGTCACAAAGAAGAAGATTGACTTATTCTCCAAAGTATCTGAGGGAAGGGCAAGAAGCAATGGATGGAATCTTGTTTAAAAGAAAGATCCAGCCTCGAAATAAGGAGAACTTTTCTGACAGTGAGAAAAATACATCACTGGAACAGCTTGCCTTGTGGGAGCTCCATTACTGGAGATTTTCATGAAAACACTAGCTCCATACCCATGCTTCACTATGAAACTATGTGATCGGGCTTAGTTTTTGGGGAGGGAAATTAGGGAGGGAAATTGTACAAATTGTGCATCCATTGGTATTCATCTGGCTAGTCCTGTCAGTGTGTGAGAGTTGAGGGCTGTTTGGAAACCGAAACATGGAAAGTGAAGCAGTATTTGCTGTGTGAGCAAGGAAGAGATAGCAAGGAAGAGATAGCAAGGAGCCTGGGTGTGGCTCAGCTCAACTGTTCTGTACTAAAGCTGCTTGGTGCTGTGAAACTAAAACTGAAACACCTCTGCTCTAAAACTGAAACTGAAACTCCTTGGAACAGATTACTTTTCAGGTGGGGAGAGGGAGTAGAACTCCTTAGCATCAGAGTGTAATGATGATGATGATGACGACGACAACAACAACAATAATAATGGATGGTTATGATGGTCATTTCGAAAAATCCTTTCTTAGTGAGCACCTAGAAGCCAAGAGGAAGAGAAGATACATGCCGAATTTCAAGTTTGTAGGCGTTACGGTTCTGGAGATTTTGTGATGATGCGTGAGTGGTATTTTGTTTTTATATATATATATAGATTGGACATTGGTGACGGTATAAGGTTTCCTGACTTGGGCAGACTAGGTCCAAGGTCCCTTCCAGCCCCAGTATTGTATGATTCTATTGTGGGGTCAAGGAGAACAATTTAAGGTGGAACATATTTGGGATTCCCTACACAGAAGAGAATTTGGGGGACAGGGAGCAAGTCAATTGATAATGAGGTATTTGAGAATTGATGTGTCCTCCCCACTTCCCATTGCACTCAACAAGATTTTTTTTTAATCTTGGACACATCTATTTCCATTCTGTAAGACATTTCTGTTCTGGACAAAGGGAGAAAGGGGGCAGGGACTTGCGTTGGTGATCATGTTGAAGAAAAATGGACAGTTGTACAAAAAAAAAATGAGTTTGTACCAAACTGGGGCCAAAACAAAATATTCTAGTTGGAGTGATCATGGAGGGAAATGGCAATAAAACAAGGAAAAAATAGCTCAAGGTGAACTAAATCATTGTTTAATGATAATTGCTATCTTATCAGCTTTACCGCTCACAGTTTGAACCATCTGGCACTGTCTTTCTAGCATCTTCACTGCAAAGCAAAGCATAGAATGTTCTGATTTATCACAAAGCACCATTTCAAGCATTCTCCAATTTCAAAGAAGTAATAGTCTATCAGGTGCTGCCTGGAGGTTAGATGTGATTCTCTTTTGGCACTTTGAAATGCCAGAGTTTTTATACACTATGCAAATGTGAACCCCACTTGTTCCAGCAATTGCTAATTGGACATGCATTTGGCATGTTTATTACAGCAAGGGTTTTTACATAGACAATATGTAGGCAATTCAAATCTTTGCACACATATTTAACCAGTTGCACAATCCTTAACTAGTTTTTAATCCCAGTTAAAATCCTTTCTTTTCTACTTGGAAAATTAGTAAGAAAGAAAAATAACATGGTTGGTTTTTTTCCTTATTCTGTCACCAATATAGAATAAGTGTAATGTAAGAATGTAGTGTTTGGGAGAAAATCTACAAAATATTTAAGGGCATTTCCCCTAATTTCCATAATTGCACACTCATTGGAAGTTGCCCTGTAGTGGAGGCCTTAAATGGAGAAGATCAAGAAGTTGATAAGATCTTTTGGAAGAAGCCTCGGAACATCTTCTCCAACCCAATGCCTGCTTGTATAGGTAGTTAACAACACAAATACCAATGAGCATGTTGGCTGAGAATTATGGGAATTGTAGGTGAGGATACTCCAATTCTACCTCTGTGATAATGTTCTAGTTCTCTGACTTCAATGATAGACTGTTGTTGCTGATTCATATTCTGCCCAGGACTAGATAATTTTATGGCTTTGTCTGATTCTAAAATATTTTGTTCTTAATACAGTGTTACTGATTGGAAAGTTTTGTTACAGGGGCTCATGTGTGTATTTATTTATTTATTTAGAAATTTTATATTGCAGCTTACTTGAGGTGGCTTACAAGGATATACAAATAGCGTATAAAAGAAATAAGAAGAATAAAAAGAAAAATAATAAAATAACCAGCCACCCTGAAGACTACACACATTCATACTAGACATTTAATGGGCTCCATCCCACTAGACGTTCCCCAGGCCCGCTGACAGAACCACGTCTTCAGGGCCTTCCAAAAGAGCTTCAGAGTGGGAGCCAGTTTAATCTCCGGGGGGGATGATGTTCAAGAGAGAGGGAGCCACCAAGGAGAAGGCCCTTCTTCTGGGTCCCGTCAGATGTATCTCCCTAGGAGAAGGAACTTGCAACATTCCTTGCCTCCCTGCTCTAGTGGATTAGGTAGCTTTGACTGGCAAAAGACGGTCCCTCGGATAACCAGATAGCCATACATCATGTTCTGACCAAGGCTTCCCGAGACCGTAATTAAACACACGCTTAGTTCAAACAACTCATTTTATTTCAATACTGGGAATTATGTTCATTCCCAGCCCGTAATGAGTCTCAAACAGTCCCTCGAGATAAGCACCCACCTTTCTCTCCTTTGAATTGCTGCCAACAACTAAA